CCCTTCGATTTATGGATGCCTATACATGTGGGTTAAATGGTAGATAGGCCACATGGGCCGCCATATACTATAAAGGTCATCGGGTGCTGCCAGAAAAGCCTTCTCGAGGAACTGGAGAAGGAGAATATTGTATAACTGCACTATTTCAGTGATAACTCATTAATTGCTCTATGAATATGGATCTGCTTGGAAATCCCTTTCATTTCCGACTACTCGGCCTTGTTTCAAACAACTTCTACTTTCAATATCTGATATATTTAGCTTGTAGCGAGTCCTCCGTCTGCTCGAGTATCTGGTACGCTCAATTTGCGCATGAATGTCACACGAGGAGTCACATCACCTGACCTAAGCGGGTTTTGCATGTCGCCTACCTTTATTCTTCTTAGCACTTTCCTTTCTTCGACCTCCATTCTCCGTTGCATAATGGCCATCATTCCGCATCAAAAATCTCGGCACGTTTATTTCCAGAAAAGTCTATCTTGCGCGTCCGTGTGCGACGATTTTGACAAATATACTTCCTCTGAACACGCGACCTTGCCTCGCTTCTATCGCCGATGTGAAAAGCATCTGGATCGCCGGGCTCTTTCTCGACCAAACCACGACAATGGTCCTGGTTATTCTCGTATCTCTGCTATCGCTAGTATCAGCACAGACATGGTAAGCTCGAATTTCTCCACAGCACGTATTAAGTTTGACACTGCCAATAGGTGCAACAAAAACTACATGAGCACTGAGCCCATCGTTTTTCCAGGTCCGTCCATCGCGTTGAACCAGCGATAGACCTTGATATTGTATTGTAGGCGGCGAATTTCCCGTCCCTGAAAGATCCCCCACACCACTGATTGCCCTACGATGCGGGCCAGCTCTTCGGCCATACCTGCAAGAAGACCAGGACGGTATTGTTGGCGACCCAACAGCTCTTTCCATCCTCGTCGACACGCCCGTCACGTACTTGCAGATCGTCGGCGCGTCACCCATCACCACTCTCGACGTTACTTTGAGGGTCACTGTGTCTGCTGAAGGGAAGATTCTGGCTAGAGGAAGGGTACCGCTCAATGCAGCGAAACACGCACTTCCATTATCCCTGTCTGCCTTGGCTCCAAGAACTGAGGCGTACAACATATCCTGTACAGGGGAAACAGAAGCCGGGGAGCAACTCGCGACAACAGCGTTGCTGAGCTATCTGCCTAAGCCTCCCGAAGATATCGGTTCTGTTACTAAGATGGATATGCGGACCGGAGGTCTACTTGCCCGACCAGCGCACAAACACGGAGCGTATGAAAGAGTTTTTCCTATTGGTTTCTACACCCAGTTCGACTCGTATCTGGCTGTCAATTTGTCTGCCATTAGAACACTGAAGGAGCAAGGGTTGGTGTCCCTTCCGATACGTACTGGCCTGTCCTAACACCTTGACAGATTTAACATTGTATGAATTTGACTCTTCTGTGATTACCACTAGTAACCGACGCGATAGATTCATCCGGTGCCAACATTTTCAAACCTGACGGCACTCGATGAAGTATTGGATGAAATGGAGCGAGTAGGCATATATCTCATGTACGACATGCGAGCGTAAGAATTTCTCCGCAGTTCCTCCTAAACTTCTCTCATCACCCTCCAGAACTTACATGGATAGTGCATCCGTGACCGAACAAATCAACCGCATCAAATCACGCTCCAATCTTCTCTTATGGTACACCGCCGATGAACCAGACGGCACCTCCGACCCACTCGACGCCACTCTTCTTGCTTCAAACCTCATTACCTCCCTCGACGGCGGAGATGGACAGGGCGGGTCCGGCTACCACCCTGTGTCCCTCGTGTTGAACTGCGAGAATTACGAGTTCACAGCCTACGCGAGCGGAGCGGATATCGTCATGCAGGATACGTACATGGTCGGGAACAATGTGACATTCTCGAGCCAGTGGGGCACGGTGTGCACGCGCGATTATGGAGATTGTGGATGTGATAATTGTAAAGGCTCCTTTGAAGACATATCGACGAGGGAAGATGAATTTCGGGAGAGGATATTTGTCAATGGCTGGGAATTAAGTAAGGTGGTCTGGGCGGTCCCGCAGGCATTCGGGAACGATTCGTATGTTTATTTTCCTCCGTTCATCTGGCGAGATTTCGATGATGCTTTTATAAAACAGATATTGGAAGAGAATCCCTACTGGGAAAGAGTTCATTGTTCAGAGTATCGTCGGGATCAACCATGGAGCTCTAGGTACTCACCGCTTTTTGACCTTTGTATACGAGTATATTGATCTGGTGTTTGTAACAGGTATCGTACCATGGGATGACCCCACACCTGCCGATATCAAAGCCTCCGCCTCAGCTCTAGCGCTTTCCCTTCCGACAATCACTTCATTCATTCTTAATCCCAAAGTGAAGTTTCAACAAGTGACGACTTCTGACTTGATCGATGTAGGTTTGTGGACGGTAGGCAAGAAGACATTAGTTTTGGCGACGAATTTGGACTATGTAGAAAAGGTTCTTTTCTTGGCGCAGGTTGGTATAGCTGAATTGGTGTCAGAGAAAGTGTTTGATAGTGGTGCGCAGGTCTATATCGGTGGGTTCAGCGTTATATTGGAATCTGTAGGCTCGGCTGGGTTTATTGTACCGAGTAAATAATGTTCGGTGGTTCGGAGATATCCGAACCATTCTTCGCTATCTCCTATAAGTTATGTCAGCAATATTTAGGTTAACTATATCAAGATAAGCTGATGACGCAGAACTGAATAGGTTCCATAGCATTTTCAGTCGGATTTCATAACGATCGATGGATCGTAGTAACGTGGGCGCTATGAGGCGGTGCAACCGTATACCACTCTCTCATTGGCCATGAACAGCAATGAGGGATACCTACTATTACCGGAAACATAGAAGGACTCTCATTGCGAGCCTCCTGCACTACCACGGCGTACTCATCGCATGCGCAGCATTTTCTCTCTCTACCGCAATCTTCCTCGCCTATCATTTGGGGTACTTTTCGACATTTCTTGTATACCTTCCATTTGCCATAGTATGTGTACCAGCGTTGGCAATATTCGACGCCGCCCATATATATAACTGGTCTGGGTGGACACCGCGGAGAAGAACACGATTCAGACTCTGCTTTATGTGGTGCCTCTTTCTTCTCCTCGCACCGACCTACCCCTCCTCGTCTTACCTCCGCCATGATGCCCCCGTATCCCCCGTTCCGTCGAACGGCACGTACTACATCGCGGCCAATCTGTACAATTCAGCAAAGGTCTTACCCTCATGGACGAAGGAGATGAAGCTCCTCATCGACCATATAGGCCGACAAAACGTCTTCGTATCCATTTATGAGTCGAATTCTGTGGACGAGACGCAGGAGATCCTGCGTATGTTCCAGAAGGAGCTCGATGAACGGGGCGTCGGCAACCACGTAGTGATGCAGGAGGGTATAAGGGACAGGTGGGGGCTGGACAGCCCCGAAAGGATCTCCTACATGGCGGATATCAGGAACAAGGTCCTAGAGCCTCTACGCGTCATGGGCGACCAAGATGGGAAGACATTTGCAAAAGTTCTGTTTTTCAACGATGTTTATTTTGACTGGAGTTGGTCTTTTCGTTCAATGTCCGTCGCTTTGCCTATCCTGACTTTGTGTTCGCAAATAGGAGCTATTGTACGATTAATCAACACGAAGGATGGAGATTACGATCTCGCATGCGCTCTTGACTTTGATGGGGTGGGACTGTATGATACGTACGTCTTTCCCCTACCGCGCGTTATTTATCCCCTTACACTTCTATCAGGTGGGTGATACGCGATGCTTGTGGACAGACAGCGAAAGAAATCTGGCCATACTTTTCCTCTGACCCCAGGGCTGTTAAAAGCCTGCGGAAGGGTGAACCTATCGAGGTTGCTAGCTGTTGGAACGGTGTGGCCATTTTTGATGCGACGTGGTTCCTCGCAGGGTCCTTGCCCAGTAAGTCTACAGCACCCTCGTCTTGTATCCGACCTGATCGTTTTTGCCAGAGTTAGACCGGAGTACGCCTACGCCTACTGGAGATTATCTCCCCCCACTACCGCTGCGGTTTAGAGGCAGTACAGAATGCACGTCGTCGGAGTGTTACCTTATAGCCATTGACATGCATTTCTGGAACACTCCCTACCGACCGAAAATATACGCTAACCCTCAGGTCAACGTCGGTACGTCCCGACAAAAACATTCCTGTGATCGTGCTGACACCGGCTTATAGCTTATGATTCACTAAACTTTCTCTTTCACACAAAGTTAGAACGCTTGACATTGTCAAAACCGTGGCGGCTAATATGGCAAGATTGGATTGGACATAGGATGTTCGGTTGGCTGAGCGACTGGATTTGGCTCAAGGAGGATAGATGTAAACGTAGCTCAGAAGTCTTTGTGGAGGCGGATTATTGTAGGTAATGTTGCTGTAATCGTGATTTATACCGTCTGGTGCTGACCGGACATAGGAGAGGCCTGAATCCCAACGAAAACAAGAACGCACTGTAATGTCTTCAAAAGCAGTTGAGTGCACAGAAGCTACGGCAATATATTAAGGGGTTTCATATGCCTAGGTATTATTTACTGGTACATGATATCACCATGACCGGCAAGAAACCATAGTTCAGCGAACGTCTATCAAAGCAGCTCGCCAGTATGTCCAAGATCCTCCACCGGACTCAAGTGAAGTACCAGTTTTATCGTTGAAATACTCCGCATCAATAGCGGAGTATCCACGGTGAAAGTCGCGATACGGAAGCGATTCTGACAGTTTCTATTGATACTACGGAGGCTCGTGCAGTGTAGTTGTGGAGCGTCAATCATGTGAGAGGTAAATAACGATTACTGACTGTATTCAGCCCAAGCCTCCTCGGAGGGGTAGGTACAAAACGGTACCGTATCCTCTGAGTGCTGTGTGCATGATCAATACTAGTGAACAGAACCCATAGTCCAAATAGGTAGAAAAGTAAAAAAAAAAAAAAAAACATTGTGCAACACAAAATGGACACATTGGGAATTGAACCCAACACCTCCCGCAACAATACAATGCTAAGCGGGCGTGATAAACCAACTACACCATGTGCCCAACGAAGGTAAATATCAACTAGTCCCATTTTGACACAGAGTGCTAGCGTCGTGACCGTACACCCCACAGACCGCCTCTGAACTCATACCCATTTCCTGAACCATGATTCTGAGAGAGAGCGGGATCATATATCACCGGCATCTCAAGATAGCCTCCAAAGACCTCACAAAGTTCGATCCCAAGCGCATTGTTTCCTCTATTGTCGTACACCGCAGTCCACACAAGAGAACAGTTCATCTTGAAGATACCTCTAGGCGCGGACACGATCTCAGTTGTGTGAATGAAGACGTTTCCTACCACCGATTCCATAGTTTCTGCATCCCGATGCTGGGGGAAGTTGGGTATGTCACATTTGAACGCATCGGTGAGCGCAAGGGAAGTGATAGCCAGTTCGTGGATCTCCTCGGATACGGGATTGCGCATACCGAAACACTGCAAACGACCCTTCTCGTTGGGGCTTTGAACGCTCGGGAGGTCCGATATGAAACAGTGCATACCACAATCCATGATACCCTGGCTCTGCCACATCGAGAGGACATCGAAAATCGCCTCGTAGTCGGGTTGGCTGCTACTCCCAGCTGCATGTACCAGTGATTTGTTGGTGATTAGCCAAAAGTCGAAACTTCCGAGTTTGTAGGGGGACTCTGGGGGGATGACTTGGAGTGGCGTGGACGGGTTCAGTGCGATAGTGGGTCGCCGCGCGTTTGCGTATGCACGAGGACGGTTCCTCGGTAGTGCTTTGGGAGATCCCATGCCTCTCAGACGCAGTGAGGGTTTGCCGATGGGAGGCAGTGTCGTCTAGAGGGCATTAGCGAAGAAGTGGCAGATCTTAGCCGGACGCTTACTTCAATGGTTTTGACACGCTTCGAGGACTGTCCTTCATCCTCCTCGCCTGCGTAGGAAGGCGCAGAGCGTTTCGTACCTTTTTCTGGCATCTAAAGTAGTTTCAGGGCTGGCGCTGTTGCATCACGGATTCGCTCACCTCGCTTGGAGACTGTAAGTTGTTGGAGGTTAGCGTGAAATGAGATGTCGGGTGGCATGTATTAATGAATGTTGCGCCGAACGACAAATGCCAGTGTGGCATGGATTGATGGTGACCTTGTTTCCTTTGTCGGATGAAAAGGAACTGCATGGTGCCTGTAATGGCAAACCTATTGTTGACTTTTTCTCGAAAACCCTTACGTATAGCTCTCCAAATTTAGATGGTTCTTGTCACCAAGCCAGACAAGCCTTTCACATACAGTACCACTAGTGGAAAGGCTCGCTACTCACTGTACAGTGACGATTGCTTGGAGGATGAATTTTCTTAGACAAATACAAGAGAGGAAGGAAGAGCGTACCACATCGCAGTGAATCCAAGCTTGGACTACATCCTGTATCATTGTGCATGGACTCGTTCTGCTCGACTGCACTGGACGGCACTTTGGAAACGGGGAGAATTAGCGTCATCGATCAGATAGTGAATGATACACACTGCCGCAGTGTGTCTTCCTATTGGCTTCGCCTTGCACGAGCTCCCTTAGTCACATACGCATGCATTGTATTTGATAAACATAATGCCGTGTAGATAACACAATAAGTTGTAGTACAAGCAACACTGATCACCTAATGATCTTCCTCTTCACCCGGAATGACATCCACCTGAAAGTTTATCAGTCCACAAACTTTGTCTAGAAAACGAAACGATTATACCTTGTCAAGATCCTCCAAACATTCCCCAATAATCCTAACAGCCTTCAACAGATCCTCCTCCAATATCACCAGCGGAGGTGCGAACCGAATACTACAATGCCCTAGGTAAGGACACCAAATGGAGACAACAAAAGCTTATCTTACATATTCACATGTGTCGGTTTCGCCAATACACCTCGACTCTTCAAAAGCAAGCATAGTTGCCATGCTGTGCGTCCCTTGCGACTCTTACTCTCGTCTATAACGACCGCATTCAACAGCCCCCTTCCACGCACGGTCTGCACCAGCGGGGAATTGAGCTTCGTGACTGAGCTTCGGAAGAGTTCTCCTAGCACCATCGCTCGCTCTGCCAGACGCTCTTCGACGAGAACTTTGAGAGCTGTCATCGCTACAGCACATCCTAGTGGGTTTCTAAAAAAACAAATGAATCGATGTAGAAGAGGTGAAAATAGGTACGTACCCTCCATAGGTACTTCCATGCTCGCCAGGTTTGATGCAAAGCATGACGTCCCGATCGGCAAGGACTGCAGAAACTGGATACATTCCGCCCGACAAAGCCTTGCCTAGCAGGACCATATCCGGTCGGACGTTATCATACTCGCAATCCAGCATCTTTCCTGTTCGACACAGTCCTGTCTGGATCTCATCACAGATAAGGAGCACGTTGTGCTTCTTGCACAGAGCATGCACCCGTGAGAGATATCCCTCATCGGGAACAACAATTCTATCACGGGCGTGTTAGTAAAGTATACGAATGGAAGAGCTAAAACCACGCACCCAGCTTCACCCTGAATTGGTTCCACAAGGAAAGCTGCGACGTTCTTGCCATGCAGTTCAAGCGCTCGTTCTACATCCTCCACTACACCATATCTGATGGTCTTCAGCTGCGAACCGTCTACGTACGTGGGTCCAACACCCTCAAGGTAAGGTCCGAAACCAGTGCGGCTGTCCGGATCGGTACTCATGCTATCTTTCATGAAACAAACTCAGCGGAGATTCTCCGCGAGGCATAAGAAACGCACCTGATGACGCCCAGCGTCCGTCCGTGAAAGTTGCCTTCCACGCTCAGAATCACAGCCTGGCCTTCGGGAACACCCTTCTTCATATAGGCCCACTTACGTGCGAGCTTCAGCGATGTCTCGACGGCCTCTGCGCCAGTGTTCATGGGCAGGACCATATCGTAGCTGAACATCTCAGTGATCTGCTGAGCGAAGCAGCCAAAGACGCTGTTGTAGAAGGCCCGAGACGATAGGGTGAGCTTCTGGGCCTGCTCGATGAGGGCCGCGACAATCTTTGGGTGACAGTGACCCTGATTTACGGCTCTATTACCACATGTGAGAAAATCGAAGCAATTACGAGGAAAAAATACTGACGAATAGGCAGATAGCATGTCGATGTACTCCCTGCCTTCTGGGTCCCATACTCTATCAGGATCCAATCAGATCAAGTATATTTCGGCGGCAAAAAGAACTCACTTGGCGCCTTTTGCGGAATCGAAGACGACGGGTAACGGATGGTAACTGATAGTGGCAAAAAGGCCGCAGGTCAGTAGATGTTATATAAATGGAACAGATACGAACGACGAAATGTTATATAAAGCGGCGATGATTCAGATTCTGTGGCGTCTTTTCCTGCACACGATGATGGCTCTCCTCACGTCCAGCAAGAAACAGCGAGAAAAAAGGAATACTCACTTGTGCGCCCCGTACTTGCTCTCCATCTGGATAACGGCTGCCGATGTCAAGTGAACGTCACGTCCGTTGCTGGCAATCTTCTCGACACTGTTGGTGCCGTTCTTGACGCCATTGGAGCGGCCATTGGAGCTCGTAATAGCGGTTGGAGACATATTTCTGGTTGGTCTGTTGCTTGAGAAAGGTTGACGAACTTACGATTTTCTGTCGATGATGATGGTGGTGATAATCAGAGATGCGGAGCCCTCAGCTGAGGCGCTGACAAATCATATCCAACCGATTGCTCATGCTCCGCCCGTCGCACTTGTCCCCGCTCCCAAAAAAATTATTATTGCTCCTGTCTTGTTCCGACAAACGCGGTGGTACCCGAAACCCGAAGTCTCAGTATTGTATTGAAAGTTCCGGTTTTTTTTCGTACGCGTACTAGTAGAGGAATAATTACATCGAATGAGAGTAGAGGGAATGCCATTCTAAACGGCAGCAGCTCACCATACAACCATAAATGAACGTGTAAAGAGCTAGCGTGTAACGGTAATCGTTCATATATAATTTCGAGACTCACATCACGGCATAGCAAGGACCAAATAAACGGCTGACACTGTTAGATCTGAAAGCTCAAAACCGACAAGAGACAGGATATTCTGACGTCCGGGAAGCTACTGCAGCGAAATGAGATAGATCGGACAAAATTGCGGCGGTTTTTATAATATACAGAGCGAAATTCAGAGTAGAATCTGTGGCTCTCGGGAGGGGGGGAGGGAAATGTGACGTTTATCTCTCGAAACGTTAAAGGATGCGCAATTGTGAGAAGAGTGCGATTGCCAAGAAGGCAGATATTAATGAGGGTGATATTTGGCCGTGAATATCACAAAATACAGCATGCCGCAGCTCGTGGTGGTGGTGGTGGGGTTTCGATCAAGCTCACCATCGAGCTTCGTTGTGAGTCCTGATTATCCTCCCAGGCCCATTGCCTCGTCGGTGAAAGTCAGTGGTAGCCTCACCTATTTGGCTTTGGGCAATGCTGAATGAATTTTTTTGCCTTGAATAGATGTATATTGGGGGAAAGGATGGGCTATACGTATATTTTATGTCGAACTTTGTAATCGGGTAGAAAGGACATGTCGATCAGGTACAATTAAAAATTTTGGCTTGATTATTCTGTTCCTGATCCGCTTTCAAGTTGACGTTGCTGGTCACTTGAGGAACAGCACCTCTCTACCACTGCTATCTTTCTAGGACGTAAGTCGTTTGAGACGTATATCTGAGAGAGAGCAGCTATTGTTCTCTACGTATCCCATCCAGAATCTTCGAGTGGATCGGGGCCACCTTGAAATTCTCCAGTTTCCAGTACGGCGAGGACCTGCACATCTGTAGGAATGGTCAGTGTTATTATGATAGGACCGGGGCTATGTTGCTACCCGTACGTAGGATAGCATGTACCAAAGTATAAGGACAAGGATGGTGGATGGACACGATGTGTACTTGTTTTCGACATGAGTGTTTCGACACTTTGCAGAGGCGTGCGTTACTCCAGCGAAGGGAGAGAGCTATTTGGCCAGCGTCTATGACATCTAGATATCATAAACACCACTACGCAAAGGTAGTGGAGCAAACTAC